TGGATGGATGGTAATGTATGTATGAGAATTTTGTTGTTGTAAATTCTCTTCCAGTCACCACCCTGCGATCTCTCATGTTTATCTGGTAATTACCAACCACTCCAACTACAGCAGCCTTTGTATCAGCACAGATACTGTCATTTATTATAATACATCAGTCAGAGGGTTTCCTGTAGAACTAACTAACTATACTTGTAATATTTTAAGTAGATTTAGCTGATACTAGTTTTGTGCTATATGTTCACAAAGACTATGAAATGCATCCCTTTTACTTGTGATGGAGTACTTTTGGATAGCGTCTGATGAGGATCCCAGTGCTCCCAGTAGATCAGTAGATGTGGGCCAAACTGCTGCCGTACAACCAGCTGCCTCCACAAACATTCTCAAGTCACTGGAAGTACTCAAGCAACAACAACACCAAGGGAAACTAAAAAACCCCACATGATTTAAGAAAAACAAGAATCAAAGCACACACGACAGCCACAAATCACTGGATTATCTAGAAAGAAATGAATTCTGTTCGTAATTAGACATCATGAATTAAATGTAATGGCAATTCATTTTTAATATTTTCAAAACAACAGCACATTCTTGGCCATCTGTAGCGTATCTGAGCTCACACTGGTCTGTTTTGTCTGTAAGACGCTGTTTTGTTCTGTGAAAACAGGAAAAGCACACGATCAGTTCCTCTTGCATTGTTAAAATGAATTTCTGATTAATGTCACCGACTGACGAACAGGTGAAAATGCTGAAGCACCTCAACGCTGACAAAGGGATTCAATCACAAGCACTTCATCCAACATAATGCAGACTGAGGGTTTGACTGGCAGTCCGTAGTGATGGTTTACTCTGGAACAGGAACAAGAGGAGCAGCGTTTCTTTAAACTCCCTCCACAACAGAAACAGCGTTCATCCATGTCTGTGTCTCCAGTGGACCAGCGTGGTCCCCTCCATAGAGGTGTATAATAAGCCTAATAAACATACATACGGTCCCCTCAGTCAGGTGGGCGTCCTGCTGTACTTCCACTGCTCCTCCGCTAGAGGCGCTAAACACCCTCCATCCGCAGCTGCAGCGGCGAACAAGAAGCAACATGGCGGTGCAGGTGGAGCTGAGCGCTTCGGACGCTTTCCCTTCATGCCTCAGTCCGCTGGATGTTCTGGTGTCCACATCTCAACTGGATTCTATTTTCCACAATGACTCGGACCCGCCGACCGTCCTCTTCACCCCGCAGCGGCCCCAGGGCTCCGGGAGGACCGGGGTTCTACTGCGCGTCCACCCGGCCACCGAGGAGGTTGTTGCGGGCTGCCTCGGAGCCGATACCGGGTCCGGGCGTCGGGTCCGCCTGTTCGCCAGCCACTTCTTCCTGCGGCACCATGGCCTCCAGCGGCTAGGCAGCACCGGTACCGTCCGGGCTCTGGAGCCAGTGAGCCTGCACAAGGTCGTGCTCGGAGCCCGCAGCAGGCAGTGCCTCCGCTGGGCCCGAGCGGAGCGGTTCGGCAGCGGGCTGCTGGAGCTGTGCCGCCCGGGTCAGTGGCTGCTGGCCCGGCAGGGAGACCCGCTGCTGCTGCCCCGACACCCGCTGTTGGAGGAGGATCCGGCACAGGTGAGCCTGGGGACAGGTGTGCTTCTGGACCCAATGAAGTGTTCGTTAGAAATCAGGGAAGTTAAAGATTCTGAAACCGTCCGAACCACCAAGAAACCTGGTTTTACGTTATTTACACGTGTTTCTGGTTAAAGTAGCCTGTAGTCACCTCATCTGTTCTGTCTGCATGGTTCCTGTAAATACAGAGGTTCTGATTCTAGCTGGTTCTGGGTTTTCGTTTAGGTCCAGACCTCCTGGTCAGGTCCAGACCTCCTGGTCAGGTCCATGTCTATAAAACCAGCCGGCTGTAGTTAATGTCAGTCTGTTAATCTTCTGATGAGTTCGTTTATGTTTGTTTGTTCAGCAGAACTCTTACAGAACCCATAGGGATGTTCTGTGGTGTCCTTTTGTCGTTTATCAGTTCATTGACTCAGATCAATCATCAGGACGGTACCAGCTAGTGATCTGTGTCTGGACTTGGTGCCGTGTCTCCTGTAGCTCATCCTGACTACACAACAAACGTCTGCTTCCTCCGACTCGTTTAGATGCAGCACCAGCTGTCGGAGTTGCTGGTTCTGGAGTGCAGTCCGGTCACACAGGGGAGGATCACGGCCAACACCTCTGTGGTTCTGATGGACTGCTCGGACTCGGTGGACCCCCCAGGCTGCCCCTCGCCCTGCAGACTGCTCACACTGTGCGTGTCAGACTTTGCTCACTGCGTGGAAAGCCTCGGCAGCGGCCGGCGTCTCCTGGACAACAGGAAGCTGCTGGGCTCCGGGTTCTCAGGCGTCCTGCAGGCGCTGGAGTGCAGGCTGGAGGTCCGGGTGGTGGACACTCAGCGCTGGCTGGGGGTCAGAGGTCCGGAGGGAGCAGCTGTGGATGCAGACAACAGTGTGTTTGTGAGCAAAGCGCTGCTCCTCAGACTGGGGCTGTTCAACCAGGAGTGGGTGAGGCTCTCCAGGCCCGGGGCGTCGCTCAGACCAGCCCCAGGAGAACCGGACCACAGGGGAGGCAGAGAGCGGCTGGTCTCTGTGGTGGTGGTGGATCTAAGTCTGAATCCAGAACCTAATGATGATGTGGGTTTTATATCTGCGACTCTGTGGTTCAACATGACTGAAGGCGACGTGGTCCCTGTGAACAGCTGCACCCTGAGGATGAAGGTTCATCAGCACACTCTGAACACACTCTGAACACACTCCTCACACTCACACACCGTCCATCGTCCAGTGACAGCAGGAAGCTTCATAGGGCTTTAAATCAGAGGCTGACTGACTCTGGTATCAGGTTAGGGTTAGGCCCACTGGTAGCAGTACGGGCTTCACCTTCAGCATGTCCCAGAACCAGACACCAGCTGAGCACAGAGACGTGAAACTGATCAAACAGACACATCAGGTCACACAGAGGTGCAAAACAAAGACAGGCAGGATGCAGCTCAGTCATTAGGAGTCACAGCACAAGCCACTGGTTTAGAGTAAACTCTGTTCAGAAGTTCATCTGGAGTCCGTACGAGGCTTCCAGCGCTGCGTCTGATTGGTAGGAAGGTTCTACGCTGGCTTTCCCTGGAAAGGGTTTCCATGCTGAGCTGCAGAGGAAGACTTGTACCAACACGAGTCCCTCACACATTCTGTATTCCAGTTTAATGTGTGAGTGAGACGCTGCAGCGCCCTGACATGTGGTCCAGGACAGTCAGCTCCGGCCCTGTTCAGCGTCTCCACAGAGCAGCTCAGGTCCACTCCACTGGTACCGTGTTCAGACTGTCTGTCAGTAGGTTATCATAACATTTAGGTATTCTCTTTATCATGTCATCAGCGTTTTGTCTGGTCAGAGCCGTACCGCTGGAGAAAAACCCGCTACGACGTCTCAGATGACTTATGTTCCAATCCTGAGACGTTTGATTTAAAAAAAAAAAAAAAAAAAAGCTGGTGCCAGCAAGTCTGTGGCATGTTTTTAAATGATGAACTTTAACAACCGACTTGTTTACTAGTTAACACTAGTAAACAAGTCGGTTAACCAGCTCATCTAATGGCTGTGCTGCACAATGTTCACATCATGAGCGACCCGCTTCCATCCTGGAAAACATTCACATCTCTTATTTTCTTCACTTTTGTCTGACTTCAGCCTATCAGCTGTTGTGGTTTCCTCACTGCTACTCGTCGTGCAGAAGCCGGCTCTGATCCGTCTTCAGCGTGTTCAGGGCGTTGTCCAGACGATTTGGGACTCTGAGCTCGCTGCTCTGTATTTATATCAGTGTTTGTTGCTGTGAGCATGTACAGGCTCAGACATCGTCTTAAATCCACCGCGAAACACAAGCAGTCTGCACAGATGGACACCACAGGACAGAGAAGACACAATACCTTTGGTTCTGTTGATCCATCACTGCTGTGCTGACCCGTTGTTGTTCTGTGTCAGAGGTGGAAACCGCCTCCTGCAGCTCCCGCTCATCGTCGCTCTGACAGCTTCTGTCGCTGGGCCTCTCCGTCGTTCGCCAGTGAGCTTCACATCCAGCTGGTGGTTTCTCCGCTGTACAGCAACCTCAGCTTCTACGACAACCTGCTGGCTGAACACTTCAGCACGCCCAGGTCAGTCCCAGGTGGGCCCAGGTCAGTCCCAGGTGGGCCCAGGTCAGTCCCAGGTGGGCCCAGGTCTGTCAGCCCAACCCTGTGGTGTCTTGTCTGCCTGGTGCTGATCAGCTTCAGACCATTTCCATACAAATGTACTTGGTGACTCCATACAAGCAGTCTGACCCGTTTGTCCTGACTTTGTGCAGACTCGTGTCACAGGGAGACGTCCTGACAGTTTCCACTGAGAACCATCCAGACCTGCTTGAAAACAACTCTGAGGGAATCCACAGGTACCAAACATCCGTCGACACAAGTCCATCCATCATCTCTACACCTTAATCCTCACTAGGGTCATGGGGGGCGGAGCCTATCCCAGCTGACTCAGGGTGAAGGCAGGTTCACCTGGACAGGTAACCAGTCTATCACAGGGCTACACTTAGAGACAGACAACCAAGCACACTCACATTCACACCTACGGACAATTTACAATCACCAATTAACCTCAGCATGTTTGTGGACTGTGGGAGGAAGCCGGAGAACCCGGAGAGAACCCACGCTGCACGGGGAGAACATGGAGACTCCACGCAGGAAGATCCTCACCGGGACACGAACCAGCGACCTTCTAGCTGCGAGGCGACGGTGCTAACCACCGAGACACCTGCAGCCCAGTCACCACCTTCCTGTGTGGCTTGCTGGAAGCGTGACGTATGCAGACCAAAGCAAAGCTACGCCCTCATTTAAACCAGTGAACGTGACCTCCAGTGTGTAGCTGTCAGCAGGGCTTGATTCTCGCTGGCAATCTAAAAGTCGTGCAGTCTTCTATTTCTGTTTTAACGTGAGGTCTCGTGGCCACAGCACATTCACCACACCAACAGTCCACATGCTGCAGGCTCAGCGCAGCCTCGACGGTACACATGAAATGTAAAATCAAGAAACTTCAAGACAGTCCAACAAACAGCTTTCAGTTCTGCTGACCTCCCCGGCTGGCCTCAGACTCATCGATGAGCTGATCAGAGTTTTACGTCTCTGTGAGCTCACAAAACAACTCAGAAGTTCGTTCACTAATTATGTCGACATTTCACACAAATGTCGGATAAAAATGAAATAATGAAGAAATTACATTTTATATCCAAAAGCGCAGCTTCAGTGTTCATCATCAGCTTGGTAGAAACGCCTTCAGTCGGAACCGGACGGTTTCAGTGTGCAGTGTGAGACACACACATGAATGTGACTCAGTTCTACACAAAACCTGGTCATTGATCCTGAACTGGACATTAAAGCTTTACAGATACGGATACACAACGCCACTTCTATGTAGTTACTGAGATACGTTCTTCGTTGGCCTCTGCTGAAGTGGTGGTTTAGTCATAAACAGTAAACTGTCTGTCATCAACTGCTGATACTGCTCACTGATGAGACGATGACCTTTCACCTCTGCCAGGTGTCCAGTGCTGTTCTTCAGAGTGCAGAGAGTGTGTTCGTCTGCAGAGAGAGGAGAAGAAGGAGGAGGAGGAGGCGCTCACCTGGTGGACAGACTGCACACCTCACTCTACCTGGTAAACTTTGACCTCTAACCTCGGAGTATCTGCAGGTCTTGACCGGTCTGAGGCCCTAGAACGGCCCACAAAGTCTGAACATGTGGAAGTCTTGGTACCATTACTCACAGCTTCTGGCTGCTGGAGACAGTAGCTCAGAAGCTCGCTGACTCATCATGTTGTCAGTTTCAGCTACAACCTACATGAGCAGGTGAGCTGATCATTACATCCATCATCTGCTGCTTCGGCGTCTCTCTGTGAGAACGTTTGGTGTCTATGTGGTCATTCTGGGCTGCAGGTGGATCAGTGGTTAGCATCGTGGCCTCACAGCTAGAAGGTCGCCGGTTGGCGTCCCGGTGAGGACACCCGGGATCTTCCTGCGTGGAGTCTCCATGTTCTCCCCGTGCAGCGTGGGTTCTCTCCGGGTTCTCCGGCTTCCTCCCACAGTCCAGAAACATGCTGAGGTTAATTGGTGATTGTAAATTGTCCGTAGGTGTGAATGTGAGTGTGCTTGGTTGTCTGTCTCTAAGTGTAGCCCTGTGATAGACTGGTTACCTGTCCAGGTGAACCTGCCTTCACCCTGAGTCAGCTGGGATAGGCTCCGCCCCAAATGGGCAGATTTTAGGCCTGAATCAAGACTGTGATCTCGTGTGTCCTGCCTCAGTGTCAGCGGTCAGTCGGCGTTGAGGCTCTGATCTGTGGATGTTTGTGTCCGTCTGTCCAGGGAGCGCCCATCAACAGCCCCGCCCCCTGCCCCGCCCCCGGCCGCTCTGTGGAGGGAGCATCTCTGTGGAGCAGTCTGTCTCCTCCAGGCCTCAACAAGACAGTCAACGTCATCAGCAGTATCATCCTGCCTCACCTGCAGCACAGGTACAAACACAAAGCCAAAGCTGTCCTTCCTGCTTGAAGCAGGTGAAACCAGCTGCCACAGACCTTAAAGGCCCGACCCGTCGGTCAGAGGCAGCCTTCTGTGTCCCTGTGTGCTGGATCTAAAGCAGACCTGACTTCCTGTTCACATAGAGCCTGTGTACCACACAGAGATGATGGGACACGTGTGATGGATGTGTTGTGTCTGGTTGCAGCAGCTCCTTGTCTGGCTGCACCGTTCTCCTTCACGGTCCTGCAGGAAGTGGCAAAATGACGGTGGTCAGAGCGGCGAGTCGCAGACTGAACCTCCACCTGCTGAAGGTACCACAGCTGCTCGATGTGTTTAAAATGATTTATATGAACTCCTCTGGTTGTAGAATGTCTTCATTCTGCTGCTTAGAATACATCCTGTTGACGTGCTCCTGCCTTGTGTGTGTGTCTGGCTGCTGTTACATGTTGTTGTTGTTGTCGTCGGTGTGCAGGTGGACTGTGTGAGCGTGTGCGCCGACACACCTGCAGCCTCTGAGGTGAAGCTGGCGACGGTGTTTCAGCGGGCCGAGTCCCTGCAGCCCTGCATCCTGCTGCTCAGGAACCTGCATCTCCTGCTCAGGCCTCGGGGGGCTGCTGAAGACCACGGCAGGGTGCAGGGGGCTCTGTGTCAGCTGCTCAGTAGCGCCCCCTCCAGGTCAGTGTCGACCCTATGCCTTATGCAGTGGCACTGATGTGGCTCTTGGCTGTGTTCATGTGTGAAGGTTTCTGCTGTCTGTGTGGACACGTGGTCCAGCTCTGCGTCGACAGCCCGCTTAGTAAATGAACAGAACACCAATCGGCCACAGCGTGAAGCCTGCTGCCCGGTACCGTGCCACAGAACACCTCTGGCCCGTTTCAGTATTCAATATCTCAGACCTTCATTTGTCACAGACACAGTTATAGACAGTTCAACAGTGGAATGTGTTGAACAGCTGATCCATCAGAACCGCCCTCCCCAACCTGCAGGACATCTACACCAAACGAGCCACCCACCCCAGCCCCAGACTGTTCTCTCTGCTGCCACCAGGGCGGCGTCACCGCTGCCTGAAGGCAAACAGAGAGGATGAGGAGGAGCTTCTTCCCTCAGGCTGTCTGCCTGCTGGACCTGGAACAGAAGACTCAATAACAGTCCAACCGGTCACTTTCCACCTTGTATATATACATGTACAGACCCTTTCCAAAGAATTAGAATATCATGGAAAAGTTGTTTAATTTCCATAATTCCATTCAAAAAGTCAGACTTTCATAGATTATAGATTCAGGGCCCAC